AACCTCCTTCAGGAGAAGGGAAGGAGAGATGGAGGTTTAGAAGTCACAAAGGAAGATGAGGGATGTCACCTGATGACCCTTTCTTTCCCAGGGGAAAAGGAAGCAAGGGTATCTGCTCCAAAAGGGGAGAAGACAGGACAAGGCCAGGTTTCTTGGGGTGAGTGGCAAACCTTTGCAGCAACCACTATGAAAGAAAAGACAACTGTGCAAGAACATATAGGACAATTTCCAAGCAGCTTGAGAGCTCAGCTGAAGTCAGAAAACCAGCTCTGGCAGTTATAAAGACATAGGCCAACTTAACCTTTTATTTTTCTCAAAGTAATGACCAAGAAGAAACACAAGGCAGCTGGGCAGTCCTGGTAGCACAACTAGCAGGCCACTGGGGCATTGCAGAGTCAGATGGCTGCCCTGCAGGAGTTAGCTGCAATGACAGAAAAATGAAACAAGCCAGGGGCAGCCTCAGATTCTGCAAAGGAAAAGGGTCTGAGAGACAGCTCATGATGCAAGAAATGGAAGAAGTGAGATGACTGTCATCAGACGAGGGAATTCACAGTTCTAGATCATGGTAGGAGTAACTCTATCCCTAACTCTAGCTCTATGAGTGGAGGCAGTAATAGGGAACCAGTAAGAGAGAATATTAAATAGGTCATCCTTTCCAAGACTGACATGGTCCAGGATGCCTGATATGAACAGACACACCACAAACCAAGTGCCCACAGGCTACTGGACTTCTGTGGTAGCCTAGCAGCCAGTCAGTATCCCTAATAACAAAAGGAGTGGCTGGACCACAGGTAAGCAGCATGCCAAAGCTGATTGGAAATGGCCAAGGAGTAACTGTGATTTCTATGCTGAATTTGAGTTCGAGCTCCTATTTAGCTATGCAAAAATGAATAAGCAAGCTTCATGAACTAAAATGTAATGTAAAGAAAATAAGAAGCAAAAATCTAGATTAGCTTCACAGATTGAGAAGAGCACAGAAGACTAGATTTATAGAAAACTATTTTTAAAAGTACTAAAAATAGATATTGGTGTGTTCAGAACTGAAATTAGCCAAACATAGTTAACATGTTTTCCAATATAAAAATGTTGGCAAAAGCAAAATAACTGACCCAGCCAAGTCCATGGACTGGTCAGTCGCAAAGCTGGGACATGTCCTTGTCTTGACCCCGGGACCTAGCTCTGCATGACCCAGTTTCCCCAGATTCAGACACAAAGAAGCTAACATAACTCATCAAAAAAAGTTTGGAGAAATGCTAGATAATAGCATTCTGATAAGTGAAGATTTGTGACATTTCTCCCCTGAGGACAAAACAGGAAGAGTTTACAGCCCAACAAGAAGGATTCTACATTAAATACAAAGAAAACTTTCTGACTAGGGGTACGAGATGAGCTATATAAAAGGAAGCCAAAATTTCCATCCTGCAGTTGCATTTTTGCTTGGTCTGTCATTTCTGAGTCCTGACAATTCTTATATTTGGATGAGTGTCCAGTCAGAGTCACTTAAGTCCTGCTCACCTCAAGTATTCTCCAACATGTTCTTCTTCCTTCTCACATGATTTCCCACTAAGGTCCTTATTTTGTCTCACTATGTTGGCTCCCCAAATCCTAATTCTCCCACCTGCGTATTCTATATCACAGTGCAGCATATTTTTTCAAATAATTTGAAATTATGTCTTCAGCTTCATTGTGTCCCCCTCTCCCTCCAAAAATTCATACACTGAAGTCTTAACCTCAGGTAACCACAAAATGAGACAATATCTGGTGTTAGGGTCTTTAAAGAGTTAATAAAATGAGACCATTAAGGTGGGCCCTAATCTGATCCAACTGATGTCCTTATAAAAACAGGAAATGTAGACACACAAAGATATCAAAGGTGCATACTCAGAGAGAAAAGGCCATGTGAGGACACAGCAAGAACGCAGCCTTCTAGAAGCCAAGGACAAAGGCCTCAGAGGAACCAACCCTGCCAGCACCTGAGTCTTGGACTTCTACCTTCCAGATCCATTGGAAACAAATTTCTGTTACTTAAGCCCCACACCCACCCTAGTCTGTGGTACTTTGTTATGGCTGCCCCAGCAACCCAATAGGCTATTTGCACTATCTTCATTTACTGGTTCTCTTTCCCTCTAGAAGATGAGTTTGGATCAGGTGAGTCCTTGTTCATCTTGTTCCCCACGCATCTCTAGCACAAGAATCTGAACCTGGAAAAGCACAGGCACTGAAGGGCTGAATGAAGTAATAGAATTTCTATTTTTAAGTAAAGATAATTTGATCCAAATAGGTTTAATGCAACAAAAGGAAATATGGAATTTGAACTGAAATCCTTGCTTCCGGTAAAATAATGCACTGATTCCCTCAGCTTCAAAGAAAGCTGTAGAAGAACAGAGATGCAAATAGATGCACTAACAAAGCCTCTGTGTCTCATTCCAGGTGATGATGCTGATATTGCATTTTTTAGGACAAACCTCTTCCTGTGAATGAGTATGTGGAATTTCTGAATAACTTTAGTTTGACGAAATGATCATATATTTAATTACTCAGAACAACAACATGGCATATTTTCCAAGTTTCAAAATCTATATAAATACATGTCAATAATTTAATAATTTTTTATAAATTATCATTATTGTCACTAACAATGAAATGTGATTTTTTTTCCTGAAGCATTTTTAACCAAGTGTAGGCAGCCTAGACATTCATGGGTAGTTTGGCTTTGTTCTTAAAGCCCTATCTTTTATCATATGCTGCAAATGGGTTCAGCTAGCAATTTCTCCTAGTACCTTTCTATCATAATATACAACAAATGGAGCACAGTATATTATAGCAGAATGCTTTGGCAACCAAAGCCTGCAAAAACTTCTGCAAAGAGACTTTAAATAGTTTCATGGTATAGGAAACCAACAATGAGTTGCAGCATGAGCGTCCCCAATCCTTGGCCCCCACAATTTCTGTCATGCTTGCCTCAGAAAGGTCACATGCACGCGTGTGTGCACCATGCTACACACCCTCACATAGGCACACATTTCCATTAACCTGAGAAAATAATTACCAATGAAAAAGCAAGAAAATTACTTCTTCCAAAACCAGTATCATAAAGAAATCTTTATCAGGAAGGTTATAAAAACAAAATGATCCCTTATAATACAAAATATAAGACTCAAGTGCAAAGCATGTACACTTGTCAGTAAAATATTTACATATGTCTTAGTATATGTGTATGTGTGTATTCAGGAGGAAAGACCTCTGAAATAAACATCCTTTCCTGTTTTGCACATTTCTTAGTTGCTCAGTAGGCTCTCTACCACCCCTTTGCTTTCCTGGTTTCAATAACTGACAGTCAACAGTGGCCCAAAATATTAAATGGACAATTCTATAAATAAATATAAGTTTTAAACTGTATACTATTCTGCACATGAAATCTCATGTCATCTCCCTCCATCCTGCCCAGGACATGAATCACCCCTCTGTCTAGCATAGCCCTGATAAATATGCTACACTCTTGTTAGTCACTTAGTAGCTTCTAGTGCATCAGATTAACTGTCACAGTAGCCAGAGTACTTTTGTCCAAGTAACACTGGTGTAGTAGCTTAATGCTGCAACACAATGCCTACATCATCCAGTTTAATTCACCTCATCATGCATGCATTGTATCTCACACCATCACAAGAAAAAGCATGAATACCATACAGTAAGCTATTCTGAGAAAGGGCAAGAGAGATCACATTGACATAACTTTTATTATAGTGTATAGTTATAACAATTTTATCATTAGTTATTGGTATTAATTTCTTAGTATGCTGAATTTATAACTTAGAAATTATCATAGATCGGTACATATTATAGAGTTCAGTATTATCTGCGGTTTCAGGGATCTCTTGGGGTTCTTGAAACATTACCCTTGTAGATGACAGAGGAGTGTTTTCCAAGTTTGATCCTTGGCCTCCTTCCCTCTCTCTCTCTCTCTCTCTCTCTCTCTCCCCTAATCCTCTCCTACTTCAATTCTCACTCTATAACATGCTTCCTAAATCCGTGTCTCTCATTTCTCTCTTCCAACTTTCATTCATTCTTCAATCACCTACAAGATAAGTCCATTATAACACCCCATAGTCATCTCAATGCCCACATGTCCTAGCAAGAACATGCCACCTTTCCCCAAAGCCATTTTCTTTTCTGATTACTTTGTTCTTCTACCACTTTTTATGTGAAAAGGAGTATGAGAACTCTCTAAAGCAGGAAAATCGACCTGAGGAGCATATTATGGCCCTTAGTTCCAACATACTCACCTTCTGCTCAACAATAATACCACACTGATGTACTTATACACACAGCAGTTGGAAATCAAACATAACTCCTCCCCATATTGCCTGTGGGATACTGCCTGAACATATTCTGAAATAACTACATTCATCGTGCATTATTTTTTCATCATCAATTAAATATAGTCAAGAAACAACACACAAGAAATGTCAACACTTCTCTCAATAAGTAAAACAACATGACCAGACAACATCAACATCTAAGTGATAAAACGCACATATGTACAAATATGGAGCAGAGATGGAAGGCAGGTATCTAACATATCACAAAATACCCCAAGGTTATCAGAAAAAAGAACAAGACTTGGTGCAACATATTAGCCAATACAAGCTGCTATTTTATGGTTCCCATTCATTTATGCCCTTCACAGGTAAAAGAGTTGGAAAAATCCTTATCAGGCCAGTACTACCATCTCAACCACCATATTTGCCTGGCAACAGAGTGACAGTCTCCCCAAATATAAACGTAGACATTTCACCAGTGAAGACACCAAGGAATGACACAAAATGAGTGACAATGGCAACGAGCAAGCAAAATGCTAACTGACCAGGACTGTGTGGCATGTGTGTTAGTTTAGCGATGAAACAAAATGAAAGTTTGTGAGCACATGTGTGTGACAGAAGCACATCCGTCTTGCAAGATGTTGCTTCAGTGAAGACATGAACCGAATGAGCAAGTAGTACCTGTGACGGTTTCATTAAATGGTTCTGGACCCTTAATGGGAAAACCATCAATCTTGATCCATTCACCTCCTAAATTAGGAAAATGCAACTTGATAGTTAGAAACAAGGATGATTGGACTTTCCATATTTCAGTGCATCCTTAATGATTAGGTAAATGATCTTTTCAACAGTCTTCAAGGATATCTGTTCAGGCTTTAGGGACAATATGTCTTTTGGGTCTTCTGCAAAAAGTTTATTTTAGTGAGTACTAAAATATCTCAGGCAAAATGCTTATGATCTACATTACAACTGTTAAAAGAGGAATAAGTCTTTCCTACTTTTCCATCCTTTGGCTTGCTGAGTCTAAAATATTCTCTTTCAGGAATCCTTTAGCAATTCTAAGTTTATATTGATTTGAAGAAGTAAGGAGGTAGGTCTCTCCCAACCTAAGTACCAAAACCACAGCCTTCAAACTCTAGATAAGACTTACCAGGTGGACTTTCAGCTCTGTAAACTGGACGGCTCATTCCATTGTGGTTTTCTGCAGTAACCAGCACAAAGTACACTACCCCCGGCTCTGAAACACATGGTTTATATCAAGCCACTGTTTCAAATCTCCAAGAATGACACAGTTTGATTCACTAACCATCGCCTTATTGTAGTTATAACCATATATGAAAATCTTACCTAAGTGACAAGTCTAATAATAACTTTGTTTTTGTTTTTTACTAAAGCCACTAACATTTTTATGCAACTGAAACATGCCTGACCTAAAGAAAACAAACTTTGTTTAGTATAAGTATATGGCATGTGTGACAAATCTGAATTTCCAAAGAAACAATAAAGGAGATTTTAATGTTTTTAATGTGAACTCAATGTAAGGGATGGGAACTTTAGTCTGGTGATTAGTATTGGAACATACAGGTCAAAAACTATAGGTGATAGTTTATTTCCATAGAAACTCCAAATGGCAATCTCCAGGAAGAAAAAGAAATGTCATTGTGACTTATAGAATATAGCACACGGGAACTCTTCATAAAGCTTTATGATACTTTTTACAGTAAAATGTCCCCCAGGCTATGTGAACAGGTTGTTTCTTACTATTTCAAAAAAAATCTAAAAGAAATATTTTTCTGAAAGCTTACAATAATTGGGCTTTATTTTCTTACTTTTGTCTCAGGGTCAAGGTCAAATAGCAGTAGTGTCTTCAGATGAGCTTCTAATGTTGGAATTCAAAGGGAAATCAAGACACCACGGTACAAAAAAAGCACACCCTGAATTTGCACATTTGCAAAGCAAATCTCTAATAGCACCAGCTTTCCTCAAAATGAATTGTTATCTTCTGACAGGTAGATGAGCTGCCAATTCTATGAAGAGAAGAAAGTTTGTAGCCATTGGAGGGGATAAAGGGTGAGATAAGAGCTCTCTCAAAGGCAGAATGATAACATTTCTCTAAGTGGGGAGTGTTCCTTCAACAAAACCTCACTCAGTTCTCAAGCTTGAGTAAAAGGACCAGTGACTGGACTGACGCCATCTATGACACTTGCAGGGCCTGGTGGAATCTGAGGCTTGGCACAACCTATTGGACTAATGGAAAAGGGTTCAGAGAGAAGGCAAAACTGTGCTTCACCAGGCACTCTCTTCACTGACAGGGTATTTGTATTTCAAAGAAATGTAATCTATATGTCTTTGAGACCCATACAGTTAATGCAGAAAGTTGACTGAGAGACACCATTTGTTTTCTAGTGAATTCTACATCTCTCTGTCTGCCTGTTTTCCTTCTCTGCAGCAATCATAATAACCTAAGGCTTGAGTAAATATGACCCTACTCATGTCTTCAGTCTGATGGAATCTCCGTTTAACCTCACAGCTGGACTTTGAGAGGCCCCGAAAGAGATTCAGAGAAATGCAGCTGAAGTCAGGAGAAAGGGAACCTAGGCTCCTTTATCTCGCTTTTATAAACTTCCTGCTCCGTTACTCAGAAAAAAATTAATATTGCAGCGCAAGAGGTGGAGGGCTACAGCTTAGGTCAATGTTGAGGAGCCATGAGCTGGTGGTCATGATCCACTGAAGGATCAGAACATAACATGGTACAAAGGGCACCCATTTTTCTCTACGCTGACCTCTGTGAGTTCTCACAATTCACCAAATGATCGGATCCCAACATGATGGCAGGATCAATGTAGTTTCAAGCTATAGGAATCAAAAGTAGAAGAAATAAGATGCAGAGGAACAACCAGAGCCTAAGTCCAAAACCACTTGCACCAGCACTTACAAAACAATATACATGGAGATGAGATTTTAAATACATTTAACTTCCAGAATCAGATTAAAATAAAATTCAAATGGGCATAAAAGTTACATCTTCAATTGGATGTAGCTAAGCATGATATTCTACACACACCTCTATGGGGACACGCTACAGTTGATCCTTGAACAACTCAGGGATTGGGGGTATCATCTTCTGTGCAGTCAAAAGACTGCATAAAACTTTTTCCTCCCAAAAGTTTTCCAAGAGACTGCTGCTGACCTGAAGCCTTCCTGATAACATAAACAGTTGAGTAACACACATGTGTATTATATATGTGTACTATATGGAGAAAGATAAGCAAAGACCAAAAATCACTTTCCTGTGTGACATACAATTTAGCGAGGAAGTGAAAATCATCATCAAATGGGAGCATTTTAAGTGAGTATTTGCCAACACTTGAGCTCACTGCACACCGCCAAGAGGTGGGACAGAAGAACAGGTGAAACTGCAGAGTCCTGCAGTTATGGTTTAATATCTCATCTTTACCCTTGTTCACACTTTTATCTACTGAAAAGGGTGCTGTATATGGTTGTGAATTTGTGCATAAGTTTTGCCAAGTTTCAGCTCTTTATAGATTTGTGCAGATTTTATGATAATAAATGATAACAGAGTATTATCTCTATATATTTATGAGCTCATAAAATATTCAGCTTTTTCTCAATTTTTTGATATCTCTAAGCTCTGTGGCTATGCTGCAAGTTTTTTCAAATCATTGCAAAATCTCCAAAAACTATCCACATGTAAGTGGACCCCCTTGGTTCAAACCCATGTTGTTCAAGGGTCAGCCAGGATGAAAACATAGGACCAATATATTTTCCAAAGCACATTCGGAAACTAAAAAAAAAAGGTTGCTACTTCAATTTGAAAAGCAGAATACTTAGTTCAAATGCATGAATGAGAAGCTTGGGGAAAAGATAAGCCCACCAACCAATAGTCTCATGATGAGACTCAGAAGTTGATTACTGGTTCCCAAAAAAATCACTGGTACCTCTAGCCCAGCCACTCTGCCTCACAAATAGTTATCCTAAGCAGGTAACTGAGAATGTTGGTGCACAATTAATTCTGACTGGGGACAAGATCATAGTGTCACTTACCCACATCCTGAATAAGGAAAGAGTATGTCTCCGCATTCACTTTGATGTACTTAAGACTTTTCAGTGACTTCCCATAGGCAATGTTGTAATGCTCCACAGGTCTACTGGTAGCATCTTTAGGTGGGTCCCATGTGACTTTCAGGCCCATTTTAGTGGACAGCAGTTTCACGTGCCTTGGCTTCAGTGGGTGGTCAACTATGCAAAAGGTGCAGCTATCAACTTGTGGCAATGGCAGGTTGGGAAAAGAACTTTTTTGAATGTTCTCTGATATTGTTAGTAAAAGACTAAATGACATTAGATCTGTCTGATCCTAAAGACTAAGTACAGTCATGTTTGCATATTGTTACAATATGACAGCAAAACAAACATACCAAACCCACATGCTCTTATATATTTTGGATAACCATGGGTGGTAAATTTAAACCAACAGTGAAACAAATCAAAATAAACTCCAGGCATTCTCTGTCTTGATTACACTGGCATGTCAGTGCAAGAAAAACAGATGAATAATTGACATCTCCTCCAGAGACATGCTTATATTATATACTAATAAGTTTTTAGTATTCTATATCATAAACTGAACAATCTCTAAAAAACCTTTAAGAAGAATAACATAACTGTCATGATTAAAAAGAGTACCTATTATATTCAAAGTGGGAAAACAGAAGTGTTCATTTTGACAAAAAATAAAGCAAACCAAAATCATCACCTACTTGACAGGGAAGTAAAACTGTTTTTATATACATATACCTAATTTAAATGCTTCTATATTGTGTCCCAGAGGAAAGATAAGTTATTAAGAAGCACATAACACTTTTTATCTTCAGTTGTGCAGTTCTAAAAGTAATTTTTGGTTTTCAAATGTACCAGAGTGAAACAGAATGTTTTGTCAAAGACTCTCAGTGCACTGTGTAACCGATATTGTAATGCATGATAATGTAATATATGCTAAATGTTCATGCAACAGTCAAACAGACTTTTGGTAAACTTGGATCTGAAAATGATGCAAGGCACTCTCAGAAAAGAAAAAATCACCAAAAGAAAGAAAGAGAGAGGAAAGAAAGAGAGAAGGAGAGAAAGAAAGAAAGAAGAAAGAAAGAAAGAAAAGAAAAGAAAGAGAAAGAAAGAAAGAAAAGAAAAGAAAAGAAAAGAAAAGAAAAGAAAAGAAAAGAGAGAAAGAAAGAAAGAAAGAAAGAAAGAAAGAAAAAAGAAAGAAAAAGAAAGAAAGAAAGAGAAAGAAAGAAAGAAAGAAAGAGAGAGAGAGAGAAAAAGAAGAGAGGCTTAGTAACAATAAGGAAAATGTATTTGGAATCTCATTAAAGAAAGAGAAGAATGTTCCATGATGGCACACACATTGGTTAGTATGTGACTTTAATACTGAATGAAAATTCTGAATGGAATAAACAGATGAGTCTAACATGCATTGATCATTCCTCTCAGCATTGCCCCACTGCATCTGGAGTAAAACAATTGGCAGTGGAGAAAACCCCTAAGAAAATTCTTTGGAGAGACACAAATTATGAATTAAGAGTCTGAACTGGATGGTTTTAAGGCACTAGAGAAAAGATGCCTATTGCAAAGGCAATGTTGACTATGGGCATAGACCGAAGTCCACAGAGCTTTCCCACCCAGCTCCAGATGCATGGCTCCTGTAACCCTGTGATGGAAAAACCACAGGTAAAGCAATCTGACACTGAAGACTACAGAAACACCATGCCAGTCACTTCCTGAGCATTTAAAATGAACCACTGTGGCTCCTTTTTATAATTTCCTTTCACCCCTGCTTTTCTGCAAAAAAAAAAAAATCTTCAGCAGGAATCCTTCACAGGAATTCAACATCTCACCTGGACCAAAAGAAGCAAAGCAAGATACCCAAAATTGCAAATGAAAGTATGGGTGTGTAATTTTTCCCAAGAAAGAAAGTGAATGAATATGTGAAGAATGCTTTTCTTTCCAGTTCAATTCTAAATTTCTCTTAAGAAAAATCTGTTCTTGAATAGCGTGAAATATGAGACCTATAAAATCCAAATACTGCCACATACTGGTGATTCAGTCAGTCCACAGAAACTTACACCAAAAAATGATTTACTATTGATCAGACGCATTACTGATACCTGAAAGAACAATCTATAAATATACTCATTTTTCTTCCCTGCTCTGCTTTTGTGTTAAGTCAACTTACTATAACAAAACACCCAATATAATTAAATTATAAAGAGGAAAGGCTGCTGGCATGCCTACATGCCTGTAATCCCAGGACTCTGGGGGTCTAATGCAGGAGGATCACAAGTTTGAACCCAGCTGGGGCAAGTTAGTGACTAGTGAAAACTTGTCTCAAAATAAAAAATACAAAAGAGCTAGGTATATAGCTCAGTGCAAATGTTCTGGGTTCAATCCCTGGTACCATAAAAATAGAAAGAGGAAATGTTTATTTTGGCTTACAGTTTGGGGGGGTTGGTACATAATCAATTGGCTCCAATGCTCTTGGATCTGTGATGAGGCAGCTCATCATGGTAGGAACACATACTAGAGCAAAGCTACTCACCTCACTGTGATTGGGAAGCACAAGAGAGAGGGAGAAAGAGACTGGAGTCCCACTTTTACCTTCAAACACCTCCCAATGACCCAAGGGTAATGGCTCATTACCCCCACCTCCTAAAGGTTCCACCATCTGCCAAAAGCTCCACAGGTTGGAGAGTAACGTTTTAACACATGGGCCTTTGGAGATTTATACAAGCCATAGTAGCCTTGTATTTATCCTTGAATACAGCATCAGACAATCTGTAATTCACACAGGAGCCCACATTCAAATGGACACATCAGTCCAGTATAAACAGAGCCATTAAAATCCATCAAGGAGCTTCAATAAGATGAACAAAGGGCGAGGCGTAGTACCTCTGGTTGCCAAAAGCCAATGAATGTCATTTCATCTTCTCAGTCAAGTTTCCACACGTGTCTATGAATGGTTTTGTTTGTTCTCTTCCATCCAATGATCAAATACCATCAAAGCGTACATCTCACTCAACTCAGCAAATGCCTGCATTACTATTTATTTGTACGTTAGAGAAAAGGCATGAGATGTGCCAGCCATAGTGGTGCATGCCTAAAATCCCTGCACTCTGGGAGATTGAAGCAGAAGGACTACAAATTTAAGGCCAACCTGGGCAACTTTGTGACTTAGAGAAACCCTGTCTTAAAATTTAAAAGTGAAAAAGGGCTTGAGAAGTATCTCAGTGCCAAAGCCCTAGGCTCAATCCCCAATACTGCCTCCCACCAAAAGGCACAAGATATGTATCTACTCTAAAAACATAAAAATAAAAACTGAACAGAAAATGGATGGGAAAGTGTCTTCCTGAGTGGTAGTCACGTGCCTCTCACTATTCTAACACTTAAAGACCTAGAACAGAGAGGTCAAGTGATCAAAGCCATACTAGGAATGCAGCCAAGTGCAAGCATGGCTTTGCCTGACTCCAAAGCCTGGCCTATAAGTTCTAGGAATCTGTTCCCAAACATAAATGACCAATGATCATATCTACTGAATCTTACCATAAAGCAAATTGTGAGGTCTCCATGGTTGAGTGTACCATTTCCACTGTTTTCCTCTGGACAGGTGGGCATTCTTGTCCCCACCTATAGTCCTACCTTTACCTTGTGCTGGGTGTCATTGTCCTCCCCCGGCCTCTCTGAAAGGAATAGGGCAAGGGGATGTTGTGCTGTCTCAGAGAAATTTCCATTCTTAACACAAATCCTTCACCAAAGGAGTGACTTTGGTGGTGGCATTCTAAGCCTTAGGGTGTTGACCAATGGACACTGTTTTTGAGTCTAAAGGCTTTTGGGAACCCTGAAGTCATACCTGAGAAGCAACTTTCCAGTTGATCTCCTTAGAAGACCAGCCCAGAATTCAAATTTCTCCAAATGTGTTAGTCTAATAAACATTACCTCCTCCCATCTAACCTCCAGACACACACAAGTTGGGCCAGGGAAACAAAATCTTTGACTTAAAAGATATTTTTATTTCCTAGATTCTTATCAACTTAGGCTTGGAAATGGATGGTATTTTTTGGTGCATCCTACTAAACATCAGCCTGAGTAACTCAGAGAGAAGTAACCAAAAAGCACAACAGGAAGGCTGGTAAAAACAATCTTCTTGACTTCTGGAAAGAGTAGAATCATGAGCAACACAGAAACATGCTCTCCAATATCTGGAATCCAGACACTGAAATATACTAATGAAAGGGAGAGAAGCAGAAGGGAAGTGGGTCCCCAGGATCCAGCAAGGACCTGCAGCAAGAATTAGAGCCCATGAAGAGAGCCAAGAGAGAGACCACAACACAGAAGAGGGAGATGTCAAGCAGTGCTTTCCTTCTGAGCCTCAACTCGTGGCATGGGAGGGGCTCTCTAACCTATAGAGGCATGGTAACTACTGGCAACTCCAAAGGCCTCGATGGAGAAATGCACCACTGGAAAGGAGCAGTGGACCCTGTGGACTACACCGGCCAGTGAGTTATTTGGGTTCAGACCCCATCCCCCACTGGGAAAGGGCAACTGACAGTAGCCATTTTGGAAAGGGGCCAACTGAAGTTAGGACTCAGAGCAGCTCCAAGCTGCCTCTATCTAGCAGTTCTAAGTGTCAGGGTGAGCTGAAGCCAAGTTCAAGCCAGCAGGAGGTTGGGGAGCCGAGTTCAAACCAGCAGGAAACAGTGTTGTGGGCTAAAAAAACCTAGATCCCAGCCTCACAGAAGCAGCCTGAACTTCAGTGGAACTAAAGGCCCAGATTTGCTGAGATTATCCACCACCACCATAACTCTCCTGCTGGCATACAGGGATCAATCAAGAAGAGTATGGGCTCTGTTTGCCCCCTCTGTCAACCAGTGACAATGGAGACACATCCTAAAGTGGATACATTTTTTCTGCTTTTCTTCCTTTCTTTGCTTTTTTATTTTTTCTATTTTTTTCTTGATTTTTTGTTCTTTTTATGCAAGTGAGAATGTTATTTCTAGTTCGTTGTTATTTTATTCTGTTCTTGTTTCTGTTTCTCATTCTTTCTTTCCCTCCTGTCTTCTTCACCAATTCCCAAAGCTTACATAATCTTCATTCATCCTCCAACCTTGCTTCTATTCCCTTTCTCTTCCTCTATTTCTCTATTTTTCCCCCAACCTATTTTAAATTTTCTTCCCTGAGGGTCTGTTGGATAA